GAGAAATCCATACATATGTATATATACATATATATATATATATATATATATATATATATATATATAACACAATTTATATAATATATATATATATGTATATATTATATATATATATATATATATAATATTATATATATTATATATATTATATATATTATATATATATATATATATATATATATATATATATATATATACACAGTGAAAGGCACGTGCATACAACGAAGACAAGAGAACCACTGACCGCTTGGCAAAACGAGTAAGGCTTTTTCACGATTTAGCTTACATTGTACGTATCTATGCGACGTACCAATGTGAATCGTTCCACCTTTTTCTATCTTCTATACCCTCTCTCTTTCTCTCTCTCTCTCTCTCTCTCTCTCTTTCTCTTTCTCTCTATCTTTAACCTTTCCGTCAATTATTTCGATCCGATGTTCTTTGTTCGAAAGCTATGTGTGTGCGTTCCCGTTAAATCGTGTGGTTCCGTGTCTCGTTAAAGTAAAACTCATTGAAAAGTTAGAAATGAAGGTTTACGCGATAAAGGTTTAACTAAATTAGTATAATAGCAGTAATAGCAGTGGGCGTACATAAATAAGAGACTAAGATAAATCTGTCGAGCGCGTGCGGGTGGACGGGTGGGTGGGTGGGTGAATGTTGGTTGTAGAGTATGAACGTGAGGAGAGGTTAATACTGTTATTATGGTATACCATCGTTCTACGATATATTGAAATCATTGTACATTTTCTTTTTTCTTTTTTTTTCTCCCTTTTTTCTTTTTTTTTCTTTTTCTTTTTTTGAAAACAATTGACAAAGATATGAATGAAAGATCAACTTGATTTTACTCCATTTGTTTTTCTTTTTCTTTTTCTTTTCTATCTTTCTTTTCTCTCTCTCTCTCTCTCTCTCTCTCTCTCTCTCTCTTTCTTTTCCTTTCGATTTTTTACATCTCATCTCGTTTATTTTCACAATATAACGTAGGAAAAATGGCTCGATCAATTTTATTGGAAAATCAGAACCCCGGTGAGATGCCCTATTGGTGTGGTACTATATAAATGCATTTAATATAGAAGCCTTTAATAGAAGCCACAAACACTCTCGGACTCGATTCCCTCGCCAACGTCACAAAATTACCTATCTATAGTTACACGAGTATTGAATCTCATTGAAATTGGAGAACTGATCGTTCTCGTTCGTTTTAGCTCCAACCAGAGCTATCGTCATCATTCGACTACGGCTTATACGCATTTGGAATCGTCGAGTGAATGCATATATAATTTGCAAGCTTCATAAAAACCTTACTGCTATTAGTGTTGATAAAAAGTAAGAGAGAAAGAAAAAGTGAGAGAGCGAGAGAGAGAGAGAGAGAGAAAGTCAAAGAACGAACGAAATTAACGTGCATATATATATATATATATATATATATATATATATATATTTACGTACGCCCTTTTTTGTACATAGTAAGACCCTAAGGAGATTTCAAATAAGTAGCAACTGGTACACTACGAGATTTTGTGTACTAAGATATATATATATATATATACATATACACACACAATATAAAGGTTCAGTGAATGAGTGAAACATATGGAGGGGGTAAAGTGCAGGGAAAATCTTTTTCGCTTCGTCTCTGACTTCCTACGATTTTTTATTTTACCTTTGACGAGGAGAACAAGGAGAGTATGAAGAGCGAGCTTGCGAAAAAGAGAAATGAAAAAAGAGGAAACAGAAAAGAAGAGAGAGAGAGAGAGAGAGAGATTGAGAAATGGTGAAAGAAGGAAAAAGGAAGAGAAAAAGAAAGAGAGAGAAAGAGAAAGAGAGGGAGGGAGAGGGAAAAGATCGAAAAGAAGGGGGATATGTTTGAATTCGCCCACGTGCAGCTGCTGAGTGACGTCACGACCTATGCGTGGGTGTATCGCTAGGGGAAAAAAGAGGAAAAAAAAGAAGGAGAAAGAGAGAGAGAGAGAGAGAGAGAGAGAGAGAGAGAGAGAAATTAAAGTAGGAGTAAGAAAAAAACGTAAGAGAAAAATTGTTGGGATGACAGGAAAGGAGAGGGAGATAAATAAATAGATAGATAGATGACCGAAACTGACAAAAAAACATATATATATATACATAGAAAGAGAAAGAGAGAGAGAGAGAGAGAGAGAGAGAGAGAGAGAGAGAGAGGGAGGGAGACGTCTGCAAGGATCAATGCAACGAACGACGAGGAGACTAAGAGTGCAGAACATGAGAATTCCCGCAGGATATCGAACGGTATGCCGTGATGCACGATATCGGGTAATACGATCGAGGATATCTCGCGTGCCGAACGAACGATACTGTCTACGTTCTTCTCTACACATGGTGAACTTTGACAAAATCGAACTACCAAAGAATTGTGGGAAGAAAGAGAGAGAGAGAGAGAGAGAGAGAGAGAGAAGGAAAATCATTTGAAATGAAAAAAATCTTCGAAGAATGGACTTCTAAGAATGATATTAAATGCCTGAATATTAAAATTTCTTTCGTATATTTCAACAATTCAAATTATGTACAATCAAATGCAAACGATTCTTGAAAAATAAGGGATTACGATTGATTTTATTTTGATGTGCGGTCGGTAATATAGAAAACGATTTTACCATTTGCACACACTAATAGATACATACGTATGTATGTATGTATGTATGTATACATTTTCTAAAGCACCCCTCTAACAACCCTAGACAGAATTTCGTATCGATTAAGGGAGAAAAATTTCGTGGAAAATTTTCCTACCTTAGATATATCTATATGGTATATATATATATATATATATATATATATATATATATATATATATATATATACGTAAGAATAAAAAAAGAAATTTTCCCGCGATTTTAACGGGAATTATACGTCGCGCAAAATGGATTACATTATATATTATATCGGACGACCTTCGATGTGTCGGTGAAAGGAAGGAGAAAAAAGAAAAAAAATAGAGAGAGAGAGAGAGAGAGAGAGAAGAGAAAAAAGAAGGTATATTAAATAAAGAACGAGGAGGGTTACAAAGGTAGTCGAAGAGAGCGTGGAAGAGTTTATTCCTGTCTTCGATGTACACCTATCTCTCTCTCTCTCTGTTTCTCTACCGACGATGCGCACCTGGATGAATCGGTTCACGGTTCGCCGATCTCGAGTCTAATCAACTGTAAAGCACGTACTACATATGTACGTATGTACGTGTATATATAATACATACATATGAGGACACGGTTACCTACGTACACGTCGCCTCCTCCATTGTCACCTCCACTATTTCTATTATGTCTCTTTCTCTCTCTCTCTCTCTCTCTCTCTCTCTCTCTCTTTGTATCCTCTTTATCTATCTTCATTTAGATCGTCGATGCAACAAATAATTGATCATCTACTAATTAGAAAATATCTTATTAGATAATTACATCTATTTATTTACTCGTACCTATACGGATCTATTTAAACGATTAAACATTAGAAAAATTCAAAGCAACGTATAATAATAATAATATATGGGATACCATAGATTTTTCTCGAGGACGCCATAGACTTTTAATAAAATTCTTTAAATCGTTGATAATACGAGTCCTCATATGATACGAATATGATACGATACGATACTATATAAAACTCGCGATTGCATTGTATATCTTCATTGTGTATAATGTGTATGTATATGTGTATGTACGTGTATCATGTTTGTGTGGAGGATACCACACGATCGATAGAAACTTGTCTTTGTGTCGCCCTACCTTCGATCAAACTCCATGCAAACCACGAACGAATCCTCTTTCTCCCTTTCCCCTCTCTAACATCGTGACTGCACGTGCTCTTTCTCTATTTCTCTCTCTCTCTCTCTCTCTCTCTCTTTAACTATCTATCTATCTATCTCGCTTTCTCTCGAAAAAGAGACCCCCCATGAAACCACTTGTAAATTCAACTTTCTCGATTCTACAAATTTTTTCTTTACTATTACTATTACTAATACTATCTCACATTATCAATTCGAATCATCTTCCTACGATATAATCAATACACATGCACACACATATATACATATATATGTATATATATATATATATATATATATATATGCGTGTAATGTATAAATATCATTGTTGATATGATATTTTTTAAAAGAACAAATATCGAGTATGAAAAAAGTTCTATGGAAGATTTTCTATTGATATCATCGAAGGTATAGAGATAAAGACAGGGAAAGGGAGAGGGAAAGGGAGAGAGAACACAAACCAATAACGACCCCCACTGAAAGTTTATAGACTGTGAGAGAGCGTTGATCGGTCGATTACGCTTTCCTTCCTCGGCTTGGCTGCCTGTAAATATATCGTGATACAAGTGCAGCCGTTCTCTTCGTAAACTAGATACTCATTGACACGGAATGGCCATGCTTTTCCCGTGCACCTATTTTCAAGGGCGACGCTGACCCCCTTAGGTGCTAACATATACGAGTACGTTCTCTCTTTTTCTTTTTCTTTCTTTCTCTTTTTGTCTCTCTCTCTCTCTCTCTCTCTCTCTCTCCCTCTCTCTCTCTCTTTATTGTGTGCGATCTCGACAACGATTTTCGTCCTTCGAGTCTTACGAAAATCGTAAACATCGAGAGAGAGAGAGAGAGAGAGAAAAAGAAAAAGAAAAAAAAACACTGAAAATAGACATAGAGAGTGAGTGAGAGAGAAAATACAATAGCCGTCCGTATATAAATATCCGTATACTAGAGTATTTTCGAATATTGAAAATATTCCCTCGAAAGATTTACTTGAGCTTAATTATTTATCGATTGTTCATTTCTCCTTTAACGTTTATCTTCGTACGATAAACAAACTATATATACATATATATGTATAACGATTTCGATGATGATAATTAATAATAATAATAATGATAATAATGATAATAAGAATAATATTATAATTCGACGGTGCGATTAATAATAATAATTAAATCGATTAAAAGAGATTCATTTTAATGATTATTACGAATGGACTCACCCTTCTCGGACTCGTCAGGCTCGTCGCTACCACATTCTGGCGTACTTCGTTCTTCCTCGCTGCTACTATAACTTCTTTGTTGCTGAAGAGTACTCTGACCTGAGGCAGTTGATTGAGAGGGATGCGTACCTTGCGCTTGATGTACCACAGTATGTTGTTGCGAGGGATGTACCGGTCCACGCGAAGGACCGGTCTCTGTCCCTGATTGACCATACGCCATTGCAATGTCAGAGTTCTGATCCTGTCAGAAGTAACAATATCATTTCCAATAATGTAATTTTATTACCATCTGTTCATATCTTTTCTTTCTTTCATTCATTGTCTCTGACAATTTTTATTTAAATATTTCAAAACATTCGACATTAATATTAATCTTCATTTCATTATACAATCCAATATATATATATATATATATATATATATATATATATATAAATCCAATATATATATGTATACATGTAGAAAGAGAAGTAACAGAAAATCATTAATATCATTGTAAATGTAATTAAATCGGATAAAAAATCGATTAAATAATTACAACGTACCTATGTGGAATGTCATTGGGTCACATAAAATATCATTCTCGTCCTTTTATTAGTCTTCCGTTCATATAATTAATGCTTTCGAATCGAAGAGAGTTAATAAAGTTAGAGATTAATATATCCAATATTAATAAAGCGTGAATAAGCATTTGTTTGTCGTTTAAAAATATCTAAAAGTGAATTAATGTTAAGAAGAAAAAGAAAGAAGGCTCGCACTCGTCGAAGCGATCGTAATAAGCTTTAGTATCCTATACAATCGTCAAACATCTACTGAACGCGAATGTCGTGTGTGTCCCGGTTAGTATCGTGCCAAATAAATAGAACGCGATCCGATAGCTGGGCGATATATAAACAGACATCTGTTTATATTGCTCTCGGACGTTGTCCTTTGTAGTTTGAATTCGTGCTCGTTCGTTCGTCCACAGATACATACAAATACAGATAAATACAATTACATACGCAAGCGTCATTCTTTAACTAGCACGCTTTGGGATGCGTTATTGCGTTCGTCAATTAAAAGAGAGAGAGAGAGAGAGAGAGAGAGAGAGAGAGAAGGAGAAGAGAAAAAAAAAGGAAAGAAGAAAAGAGAAAAAAGCGTAAGAAGAAGAAGAAGAAGAAGAAGTAGAAGTATAAAAAAAGTAGAAGAAGTAGAAGAAGAAAGGCCATGCGATTATTGGGGAAGAGAATAAACGAACCTGATAGATCGGTCGTTGCCTCGGATAATTTTGTGGATGTTGTCTCATGAGACCGTCGATTTCACCCCTGTACAGACTAGGATCGTCCTCGGGGTAGGCTCCAGGATGTCTTGGAGTTTGTTGAACGGGATACGAACCAACGACTACATGGGGTGTCGGTAGACTTCTCGAATGAGGTGAAACAGACATCTCTACTCCGCTATCACTTGTGGACACCCGACGTCCTGGAACCTGCGCTTGCAAAGAGCACATTTTTCCTTTTTTTATTATCCGACGTCTGATTCTCCCCGACGATAATGGAAACTTTAAGGTGCGCCGATCGAGAACATACGTTCTCACAATCGTTGAAAGTTGGTAACTGAGGCCGATCTCGTTGAGTTTTATCCTGAGCTAAGCATTACATTTAACATGACTATCTCTCTCTCTTTCTCTCTCTTTCTCTTTCTATCTTTCTCTCTCTCTTTCTCTCTTTTTCTCCATTGCTCTAATATTAAGCGTCGCTTTAACCCTTTAAGACCTGAGAATCGCATAGCATTGATCCTACTATAAAATGAATACGCTAAACAATATAATTAATATAATGATAATGATAATGATAATGATAATGATAATGATAATGATAATGATAATGATAATAATAATAATAATAATAATAATAATAATAATAATAATAATAATAGCAATCGAGAGAATGTTTGTTATCGTGCTGTTCATTCGTGCATCGAATTGTGTTTTGTAAAATCGTGCGAGTACCATTTGGACGCTTACGAATTCTCGTGCCAGGTGTGTTGGTCTATAACCATATCCGGTGTCTCGTGTTCGCCATTAATCAAGCCCCGAGACTGAGTCCAAACGATTACGTAATCAAGGATCGCGAAGGTGTTTGCGGAAGGTGTAGAATACTAGGTACCTATGTGTTCTCGCAGGGTGTCCTTCGGGCAGGCGATTAAAGGGTTAAAAGCATCGGATAATATGTAAATGTGGTAAAGCACACCTGCTCTTGCTGGGAATACTGCCTTTTGAGCAGACTTCCGCTTCTTTGCAGCAAAGGCAGGTTCTCCTTCTCGGCTGCGCTGTGCGCCCTCTCGAGTTTCGGCCTCTTATCCTGAGTTTGGTCCACGAGTCCCGGAGGACCACCCACCTGCATGTCCTCCTGCATTCGTGGCAGCATCGCGTTGTCCGCGGCACCGAGACCTGCCTTCGTCATCGTAAGGACCTCTTGCTTCTTCCGACAGAGGATGCACACCCATATTTCCTAAATTTATCGAACATACTCGTTAACGATTATATTTCATTCATTCTCTCTCATCGATGAAAATCTTTTCCACGCTTATAAACTCTCCTACGATCGATTCTAAAATCTCTCGAGAAATCTCATAGGATTCTTCTAATAATGATGCCTAAATTCGAAATCAAATCAATTCGTTTGGATCGTGGGCCTGATCCTAAATCTAATATCGCCACAAAAAAAAAAAAAAAGAAAAAAAAATAGAAAAAAGAAAACAGCAACAACAATAAGAATGAGAAAAATTAAAGGAAAGAATCCCTTTATGGTGCTCTCCTACATTAATATAATTTTTATTTTCTTATTTTCTTTTTTTTTTCATTTTTTTATTTTTTTTCTTTTCTTTCTTTCGAATAAAGAAATTGGAATTGCGATCGATGTACTGTTGTGCTGTTACTATTTAAAAAATCATAGTATCAAACGTGAATGATGTATGTCATTTCAACTTGGTAAGATCTTAATTGGGTGCGTATATTGCGTTGAGCAATATGCGGTATCCAGTGAGGCGTCATGAACTACACTAGTAAAGTCATAGGGTGGTCGTTAGGGGGTGGTTTTGTGCGATAAGCATGCGGCACCTGGTGGTAGTTCTCGAACTACTATAGACTGGAATCGAGTGACGAACGTTAACGGTGTGGCGCGTACGACAAATTGGAAAACTCGTGTCACGCGTTCTCATGAAACATTCTCGTATGCTCGTTTATTAATACAAATTATCAATTATCTAGAAAAAAAAAAAAGAAGAAAAAAGAAACGTCTAATAATTTAACGCAAACGATCGATTTATAATATCTAGAACAAATTGATTTGAATTTGATTTCAACGGATGATGCAACTCCAAGGAAATATATATATATATATATATATATATATATATTTTAAGGAAGAGATAACTGGATAAAAAATATTGATTATTCACTTACACGGAAAAAAAAGAGGACAGAGATAAATCGACGAAGAAAT